TGAATAATATATATATATTCCACCTAATGTTTCATTTGTTTAGAAAAAAAATTTAATTATTTTTTAAAACTATTATATAGTATAAAAACTTTCCGTTTAAAAATTTTTGTGCTAAAATATTATTTTAAAAAATAATAAAAAAATTATCTCAAAGAAAATCTAAATCAACCAAATATCTTAGTCAAGCGGCGTGTCAATTGGCATTCTACTCTAGCTTTTTATTTCTCGAAAGATGAAATTAGAAATTAAACGCATTGGTTTTTCTAATATTCTGTAGTCCTCAGAGTCCTCGACAACATCCTCACGTGCTGCAACATTACTGTTCAAGTTTGAGTGAGCTGATTGTTTGTTCATATTTAAGTTTATTTTGGAGTGGTTTTATTAAAAGTAAATTTTAAGTACAAAATTTTCTAAAAAATTTTGTATTAAAAAACTGTTAGAAGACAGTAAAAAAGCTGTCTCAAACAGAAGCTTAGGTTCTTTGATTTTGGTGCACTTCTGTTTGACTCGTGAGATTTCGAATTGGATATGAGCCAAATATGAACAAATAAACATGAAAAATAATGAGTTGAACATAATAGATTCATTTTATTACTCCACTAATTAATAAGTAAATATGACAAATTAAAAAATAATAATAATTAAATATTTTTAATAAAATATAATAAAAAAAAAACTTGTTCGTCATTTTGGTGGAACTTTTTAATATTGATTCTTCTTCATATATACCTCTCCATTAAGATTTTCTTAACCTGAAATTATGTTGTCTTAGGCTTTGTTTGGGCCGGCTTTCTTAAAGCTGTTTTTTTAGTAAAAAATAAAATAAAATTTTGTACTAAAAAGCTGCTTTAAGATGCATTAAAAAAGCAGCCCAAATAGAACCTTAATTTCTTTTAAAAATTTTATATTTGGGTTTCTAATGTTAAAATTTTGACATCCCTTTATTTAATGGATTTATATGATCAAATTATGTGTAAATTTAGCTTTGATCTAACTAAACTTAGCTTTGATCTTACTAACATGCTCTAAAAAAGTTCATCGAGCTAATGAATGTACTCTCATGCTCTAAGAAAGTTCAATTGATGAATAATATCATTTGGATTTTGAGAAAACTATTTCTCTCAAGGTTTCATTGTTGATTGGTTGGACTACTTTGATAATATGTGAGAGAGTGGTTCATTGAATTGGGTCGAGCTTTTTGGAGTTCAAGTATACGTAAAGAAGTTGGCATTATCAAACTTCATTTGTCGTTAAAATTTGATCCTTAATGATTAAAAAACTCCAATTCATGAGAGAAATCTAATTTAGTAGGAAAGTTTATTGGCCTAGATATATGAAATACTTATGAGAAGATCATCATAATTTATGTGTCAATATTTTTCTTCATTGGAATATTGACTCATGAGGATATTTTAGCGAGAAGATACCTTATTTATAACTTACTCGCTTAAGGACCATGCATTATGGAGTCCTCATAAAGATTTTCTTAGTAAGAACATTATCTCGCCATTAAGTACCTTCTAAGGATCCCAATTCAACATTCATTGTAGGATTCATAGATTTTGGAGCATTCTTGCAAATATATGGAGATAAGATTTTATTGAAAGTTTCTCAAAGATTTTTCTATAGGTAGCTTTGTTGAAATGGTAATTTGATAAAGATTCCCTTTAATTATAATCACTTCTTGGACATTAAAGTAAGTATCTCAGCATAACTCAAAACCAAATAACATCTAAAGCCAATTTAATGGTGTGTAGTCATCAATATTAAGAACAACTGTCTTAATATAATAGGACAGCCCTAATATGACAATGGATGGCAAATGAAAGAAGCTGTTCGACTAATCTAGTATGAGAAGTTAATATGAATATTTTTTAGTGGTTATAACTAGGGTTGCCCTTCTTTCTTAACATGCTTCTTATGAAGGTGTCATGGTTTACTTTTATGATGTTACTAAGTAGATATGTCATTGTTGAAGAAAAGGTTAAGTACATGAAGCTTGATTTATCATGATTGCCTAGTTATGAGGTCCTTATGTGTGAATCACCATCAAATGTTACATTTTTTTATAGCAAGAATGTTTCCTATATATAGTACAAATTTATTATTTTGAATATTCACTGTAATGGATAAAGAGTTACATACCTCAATATTTCGCTGAAATTCTATGCAAAAAAATAAATCATGAGCAATAAATTAGGGACACATGAATTTTAGCATGAAATATCAGATAAAGGGGAAAAATTATGGGGCCTTATTTAGTAGAAATAATTTTAATTGCATGAGTTAAGTATTACCCATATCTAGATGAGTTAATAAATGTAATAGACAAGACTTGTGGATGATATGTTTTATGATGGTAGTGTGAGTTTTGAGACATTAGCATTATCATCTAGCGATGATGTATGCTCAATTATGTTAATCTTTTAATTGGAATGGGAGACCCATCAATAAGAAGACAACCATTGAACCTCAATGGCTATTCAATGTCGAATGATGATCATTGTAAGCATTAGATGGTTGTCACTAGGGAACATGATTGTTGAGCGATTGTGAGTGGATAGTTTGGTCATTTTTTTGATAGGAGGGACAAAGTGGGTGATAGGGAAGATGTTTTTATGATGTTGAAGGCTGACAAATTAGTTAGAAGTGTCTTCCATGGCTTTAGAATCGGTGTACTTTTTTTAGGTAGCCTTATATACCACTTACCCTCCTAAAACATATGTTATAAAGAATTCCTTTGAGTTTTTTAGTGAAAATCTAATAAAATTTTTTGTGCCTATCAGATCGTTCGAATTAGCCCACCCTTTAGGGTCTTTTAGCTAAGGAGATACCTTAGTTTTAACTTACTCTCCTAAGAATTATGCATTATGGAGCCCTCTTAAAGATTTTTTAGTAAGAACCTTATCTCGCATTAAGTACCTTCTATGGATTCCAAATCAACATTCATTATAGGATTTCATAGATTTTGGAGCCGTCTTGCAAATATATAGGAATAAGATTCTATTAAAAGCTTCTCAAAGATTTTTCTCCTATATGTTGGAAGATTTGTTGAAATGGTAATTTGTTCAAAATCCCCTTTAATTATAATCACTTCTTGGACATTTATATAATGCTTTGTTTGAGATAGCTTCCTTATTGCTTTATAAAGCAGCTTTTTAGTACAAAAATTTCATGTTCAATAAATTTTTGTACTAAAAAGCTGTCTTAAAAAGTAGGAAGAAACCTGTCCCAAATAAAGCCTAAGTAGCTCCTCATAACTATAATTTGATATTAAAAAAAAAGTTAACTCCTCATAACTCCAATCTAGATGGTATCTAAAGCCAATTTTATGGCGCGTAGTTATCAAAATCAAGAACAACCATCTTAATATAATGGGGGCATCCCAAATATGGTAGTGGATGGTAAATGAAAGAAATTGTTCGACTATAATCTTGTATGAGAATCTAATATGAATATTTTTTTGAGGTTATAACTAGGGCTGTCCTTCTTTCTTAACTTGCTCCTTATGAAGGTGTCATAGCTTACTTTTATGATATTACTAGGTAGATATATCATTCTTAAAGAGAAGTAGAGGAAGCTCGATTTATCATAATTGTCTAGTTGTGAGGTGCTTATGTATGAACCATCATCAAATGTTACATATATTTATTTCTTATAAAAAAATGGTTTATATATATATATATATATAAAGAGTCATATCTCAATATTTTACAAAAATTCTACGGTAAAAAATAAATTACGAGCAACAAATTAGAGCTACATTAATTTTAACATGATAAATCTAATTAACGGGAACAAATTATGAGGCCTAATTCAGTCAAAATAATTTTAATAGTATGAATCAAGTTTACCCATCGCTAGATGAGTTAATAAATTTAACAGACAAAACTTGTGGATGATGTCTTTTATGATGGTAGTACGAGTTTTGAGATATTGACATAATACCCTGGCGATGATGTATGGCCGATTATGTCAATCTTTTAATAGGAAGGAGGGACCTGACGATAAGAAGACAACCATCGAACATCAATGACTATTGAATGTCGAATAGTGATCATTGGTAAGCATTAGATGGCAGTCACAAGAGAACATGATAGTCGAGCGATTTTGAATGACTAGTTTGATCATTTTTTTGATATGACGGATAAAGCGGGTGATAGGGAAGATGTGCTTATGATGTTGAAGGTTAAACTTAAGTCATTAGTGAGCACTAAATGAAGGTCGTCATAACTCATAAGTCTAATTATGGTGGTTATAAACTTATTCATTTATTACCTAAGTGAGGTGAAAGGAAGATGGACATCAAATAATAGTAGTTAACAAACATCAATAATTATTTATAATATTAATATATAAAAAATAATTACATGACTTTAATTAAGATTGATTAAAAATTTTGATTAGAAGAAAAAGACAAAGAAAAAAATAATTGTAAAAATAGGCACATACTGACATAAAAGAAATAATTAATAAATATATAATAAGTATAATTTAATTAAACTATTTAGGATTATAAAAAAATTTAAAATAGAATTTGCATTTAAGTAGTTTAATAGTTATTAATTGAAAATTATTTGAGGTATTAATATATAATACATATAATTAGATATGAATTATAATTATGTAATTTGTCTTTATTTATTATTATCAATAATTATTAAAATTTAATTATAACTAGTAAATTTTAAATCTTAAAATAAATATTCAAATTGGGCATCAAAGTTTTACCTAATTTCAATATGATTTATAGGATTTATTATCCTGCTTGAGTTATGTCTTAATATATATATATAATAAAATAAAACAAATTGAACTTACGTTAGCCCGCTAGGCGCTAGCGTTACGTCGCCTCTTTGGAGTTAGCATATTTGCGCTGTGAAGGAAAATAATAAGTTTTTTTTTTTTAAACTTCTCTTTAATTGTGACCCCCACCGCACAGTTCAAAGTCAAAAAACAGCTAGGCGCATCGTTCTTCCCTCCTTCAAATTAGGTTTTGGACAGCGAGCAGTGCTCTCTCTCTCTCTCTCTCTCTCTCTCTCTCGCACAAATCTATTCTAAATCTTCGATCTCCACGTTTACTGCGACAATGGATATTGGCTTGCCCGTGACGAGTTCCTGCTCTCGAGAGCACCAGAAGATCTACCAGGAATGGTTCGCCTTGGCGGATTCAGGTCAGTCGCTTCTGCATCGTCTTCTCGGTTATTCGATTTTATTTTACTAATGAAAAAAACTTAGGCTATCCATTAATTTCCCTCGTTTCGTCGAATATTAGACGGAGACGGACGCATCACGGGGAATGATGCTATCAGGTTCTTTGGAATGTCCAAGCTTACACGCCCGGAGCTCAAACAGGTTTGCCTTCTCTTCATTTCATATTGTTTGATGTGATTGTTTAGAGATAGTTATGTTTTTCCGGTGCCTGGTGGCTAGTTCTTCACCTGTGTCTTGATTTTCTTACCTCTTTGGCTTTAGCTGAATTTCTAATGGAAGTAATCCGCGCATTATTTAGTTATCTCGATCTGGGCATTTCTAGATCTGAAATGATTTTTTTTCTTATGCTAATTTGGATAAAAAGTTGTCAGGATAGGGATAATCTGTATCATAAACAAGTGTTTGAAATGATTGTTGGAGTGTGTGAAAATGCTATCATCTTTCATTTCAACGATTATGCATCAACATTTATGGCACTTTTTTTTTTCTTCTGGCATCTTTCCTATGTGCCTTCACTAAGACAACTTTCAAGTTTTGCTTGAAGGTTTGGGCAATATCGGACTCTAAGCGGCAGGGCTTTCTGGGTTTCAATGAGTTTATTATTGCAATGCAGGTATTTAATCGTTCTTGTTTTGGAACTATACAATTTTGCTTTTTTTTTATCCATTTATTAATTTGTATTTCTCATTATTTCTTTTTTTCGCTGTCATATTTTTTTAGCTCATTACCTTGGGACAGGCTGGAAATGAGATTACAGCTGATATCCTTAACAACATAGGTGAACTATGAAGTTCCTCTTTAATTTTCTTAAAGAATACCGTTACTCATGTTTCTAAGCACGACAATTGTGCTTCATCTTCTTAACTCATTTTATGCTTTTTATGATAGATATACAAAGTTTAAAACCTCCACAAATGGATGGTTTGGACGTATTACTTGCTGTAAGTTTGAACATAAATTTTTCGTGTATTATATTTTCTTATAGGGTTCTGATATCACTATTGAATTGCTTGCTCCTAGAAAAACAGGCCATCACCTAAGAAAAATGCCCTTGATTTAGATGGTATGTAACGGAGAATCCATAGCTGCAAAGTCAACTAAATTGGACCTGCATTTTCTTTTTATTTATCTCTGGGTAATGCAGTTGCACCTCCAGCCCAAGTATTGTCATCAGTTCAGTGGTTCAACTCAAAATCAACAAAGAAGGTATTCCATGCAACCATCACCTCCTTGATTCATATGATTGATTTTTAGTTTAGCATCTATATTATTTTATTTATTCTAGTACATAGTTATGCTACTTATCCTTTGAATTGCACTTTTCTTCCCTTGGTTTGTTTGCATGCACATTCGTTGGGAAATGAGAGTTTTTTTTTTTGGTTAAAGATTGATTTAGCTAGTTGTATGGTTTTTTATGCATCCCTTTAGATGGAGGTTAAGACTCGGTCCTTCGGGTAACCAAATACATGTAGAGAGTAGCATGTTATCTGAATATGTGCAAAACCATCTTAAAGTAAATGTTTTTCACAAGCAATCTTTATGATTTTAGTAGAAGTAGGTGATGTTTTAGTTGCAAGGTTTTGATTCACTGAGCTAGGATCTTGATGGAATTTGGCTTAGACTATATTGTTGGTGGGAGTTCTTTCTCTCATTTGCGAAGTTGCTTCTAATTATGGTGTTCTATTATATATGGATGTTTTAGACTTATGAATGATTATGGTACGTTAATGATCTACTTTGTTTGAGATCTGAACTTGAACTGTGAGGAATATTTATTAAAAGCAATAAAGCTATCTGATTTTCGAATGTACTAGTGGTTTTAAATTACTTGTATTTTATCTTTGCATTCTTGCAAACTTTGTAGCTATTTAAAATAATTCTCTATGTTTAATCTTCAAATATTATTAGAACATCGCACATATATTCAAGACTTTTTCGATAAGCTGAACTAATTATTATTCAACAACAACAACAACAACAACATCAAGCCTTTATCCCACTACGTGGGGTCGGCTACATGAATCCTTTTTCTCCATTGTGTCCTATTAAAAGTCAAATTCTCGTTTAAATCTAATAAAGAAAGGTCATTCCTAATATTTTCTAACCAAGTCTTTTTAGGTCTACCCCTACCTTTCTTAACATAAGTCAAATCTAATACCTCTACTCTCCTAACCGGGTCATCGCAAGGCAGCCGTTTTATGTGACCAAACCATTTAAGGCGACTTTCTCTAATCTTATCTTCTACTGGAGCTACTCCAACCTTTTCACGTATATGCTCATTTCGTATCCTATCTCTAAGGGTAAAGCCACTCATCCACCTAAGCATCCTCATCTCTGCCACACTTAACTTAGTATTATGCTTCTCTTTTAAAGGCCAACATTCAGCACCATAAAGCATTGCAGGCCTCACTACCATCTTATAGAATTTTCCCTTAAGTTTGAGGGATACATTTCTATCACATAACAAGCCCAATGCATTCCTCCACTTCAACCATCCAACTTGAATTATACTAATAATATCCTAATCTATTTCACTATTACTCTGGTAATAAACCCAAGATATCTAAAACGTGTGCTATTATTAATGACTTAATCGCCAAAAGTCCCAAGCCCCTCACTAGGTCCCTCCCTCTTTTTTTTTTTAAGGTGCCCTTAAGGCTTGTAATGTCAGCATTTGATGTGGAAGAAATGGTGCTTCTAAAAAATTCAAGCAGGGTTTCTACTTATGGATCAAACTCTTCATGGCTTTTGTATTAGCTACAATAGATTTAAGAACCATGCTATCAATTTTTGCTACAATAAAGAACCAAAATGTAAAATTTTTTGTTCTCTGCAACATGCTATCAACTATAAAATTCATTGATGCACCTCATGCAAACTAATTTGTATTGAATAGCTTATGTGCACATAAATCAAATCCAAAATATTTCCACGCATTCATTCTAGCCTGACCCTAGTATTTGAGGTTTATTATGAATTATCCTTCTCCACTCATTCCTGTTGAGTGTTACATTGGTGTGAACTCTATTTTTTATTTTTATTTTTATTTTTTAAATATAAGGTGACCTTTTTGTTAGTGGTGTTAACTCTATTTTGTAAGTGGTGTTAACTCTATTTAGCAAAGCTTTCTTGTACAAAGATAAGAACTAGAGTGGCATCCTTTGATCGCCTCTTTTATGAACACCTCTTCCATTTATTTTGTCAATTGCTCATTCTTTCTGGCAACCTTATCCAACAAGTTTTATCTTCCTTGCCACCCTTCTTTCACATTGTTCATCAGTCACTGCCTGCATGATGGCTTCACTATTGAATGTATGAAAGAGATCAAGGTTACAAAGGATCAATATAAAAACTTAAATAAAATCCATAAATATATTAAAGTGAAATAACTCATATAATTTCTCTAACTGTATAGTTACTTGGCTATATTATTTTGCAGATTGTTTTGTAGAAAACATAAGAGTGGTATTGCCCTTGCTATTTCCCCTATAGTGTTTGTAACTTGAATCTTGATGGGCCACGTAAACCTCCTCTTTTTTCCTTCCCCGCTTTGCTGATCACCTTTACCTTCCCTCTCTATTTACCTTGCAAAAAATGTGATTTGTCATTACTATTACACCTACAAGAATTCAAGCAAGTTCAACTATGAAAATTATCTCATTTGTACTATAGTTTACAACACCATCTATAGCGCATCTGATGAGGACATCCGACCATGGAGAGTTTATCAGAGATGGGACTGACGATCTATGACCACGATTGCACCGCTTTACTTTTGAGTCGTCAGTTGAATTAGATTTATTATTATGTTTGTATTGAGTTTATTATTGTATATTTTCCATTTATACCCTCACTTGAGGGAGTAGTCCTATGTAAGCCTAGGGGCATGTTTGTCTTTTTTTGTTTCACTCATTGTATGTTGGCTATTTAAAGCCTCTTCATCTTTTGAGGGATGAATAAGATTACTACAAAAATTTCCTGCATTGTCTTGGAGAGTTGAGAGCGTTTGAGCGTGCTTGTAGTCCCTAGGTGAGGGCAACAAATCTCCCATCAATCACAAGAAACGTCCGGGTTCATGGTTCCTCCCTTTTCCCTAAACCCTAAGGCCTCCTCCCCCTCCCTAACCGCCGGCCGAAACCCCCACAACCTCTCCCCTAGCCGCTGGGCCCTAAGGCCTCCTCCCCCTCCAAAGTCACCGGCCGAACCCTCCCCCAATACCTCTTCTAGCCATCGAACCTAGGGCCTCCTTGCCCTTCTAGCCACCGGCCCCCCAACCCCCCTTGGCTTTAAATTTCAAAACCTATTATTCAAATCCTTTCCAAAATTACTCCGTTTTATTTTTGGAAACCCTTTAAATTCCTAATCAATTGGATTTGATTTTGAATTTTATTTCCTTAACGGGGAATCCTATTTTAGGAAAGTTCCCTAAATCATGCATATTTGAATTTTAAAAGGTATTTGATTTAAAATACCTTTTCCTAATTTAAGATTCTATATAGAGCAAGCCTTAACTTACTACCTAAAGCCCCCACTTCCCCAAACATGCCGCCGGTCCCTCCTTCCCTCTCTCTCTCCTACATTAAATCTCTTTCCCTTTTGGAACCCTAATAAACTCCCTCATCAAAGGAGCGCCCTTATCTTCCCTCTTGATATTTGAAATTCAAAATTCGAAATTTCCTATCCACCACTAATCAAATTTGAAATTAAACTTCAGATTTTAGAAGTTAATTCCCTTCCCTAGTTTTGGCCGACCACCCAACTCCTCCTTCCACCTCTTGTTCGTTGCTTGATACGTCACCTAAAGTAGAAGGAAGAGAAGAAGCAACACCTCTCCCTCTCCAACACTTTGAAAACCCTCTCTACTAATGAATTGTGGATCCAGAACTTGATCATGGTTTTGTCTACAATGATCAAGGGCAAATTGACATTCTCAAGTCTTCATTCTTCGACATCAACTTGGAGATCGACCGATCCGTTGAAGACTACATCGAAAGGATCATCTTCTCCCTCGCCGCCGCTATCGACGAACAATGCCCTCCTGCTCAGTGGCAACTTGTTTCTGACGCTTGATCAAGGTGAACTCTCCTCCAAGTCTTTGACTTTCTAAGTTTTCTCTTTAAATTGTGGCATCATAAAGGTTGTGCAATTTATCTCCGTTTAGCCAAACATCAAGAGCGTGAGTGAGTGGATCCAATTAGTGCCTAATTTAAATGTTAATTAAGGGATTTTCTTTGAACTACGCATGCTATGTGAAGCTTGATTGGAACTGATTATTCATGATTATAACTCTTATCGTGTAATTTGGCCTAAAGCTTAAATCACCTCTCTTGTTTTCAAGATATGTTTAAATCGCTTTAAGTAAACTTAATTATTGTTGCTCTACTTTAAAAGACACTTAATTTCAAATTGCATAATTACCTATGCAATTAGTTCTACATTAGCATCACTTTCATCGGTGCTAGGATCTGCCTTATCTTTGTAACCCCCATCCATCACTTTTTTAGGGTTTTCATCAAGGTTCTCATCACAATGTATCAAAATAAGAATATTTGGTGTAGTTCTGTTTGCAAACATGTTAGACTCATCCTTATCACAATTGATTACCCTTTCATCAAAACGCTAACAGTATGTCAATTGATTCTCCAATTTGCCATCTTTTCTCCTTGTCAGCTGCTTTCATTGAAATAATAAGCTTTAGGTAAGCTGAGTTAAACCATGCATATGTAACTGAATAATAAGTAATCTGACCCTTATAGTGAACCTATAGACACATGATTGCAACGAGGATATTCTTATGCCTTGACATAAACATAGATGCATTCAATTTTTTAAAATTCCCTTCAACATCATATGCATGCAAAAAAGACATTAGAAAAACACAAAAAGGTCGTAGTATAAAAGAATAACCATTTGCACTAACAAATCAATTTTGCTGTGATCCTCAAATCCTCTAATCAAACAGGTAACCCAATATTACAAGATGTAAAACCCTACATTATTCAAAAGGAAACCCTAAATGTGTATTTACGGCTGCACTTAAAACCTAGTTACAACTTAAAATAATAAGTTGAAGATAATATAACATGTATAGTAACATTAGTAGAAAATTTCAAGAAAAAAGAATCAATTAATGTTTATGTTCAAAGTCGTACCTGACAGCACTTTGGTTTTACTATTATCAACTTACTGCTGTCAGATCCATAGAAGATGCTCGTGTCCAGTTCAAATGTTGTGCCTTCTCTTTTAATTTCAGTGGCGGGGAAGAGTTTTTTAGCCAATGCACAGAGAATGCTGGTTGAGCGCACTTTTGGAGGAGGTGATGGGATATGATAATGAGAATTTAGTATGACGAGAGGGAATATGAGCAGTTTATAGAATGGTGTTACGTTGATTTTCTTTAATTCTTGGTCTACTTGAGTCATTTGCAAGAATGAACATTGACATTAATGATTTCAACTAATTAGTTTCATTTGGAAAAAATTAGAACCTTCTTTAAGGTTTTTAAGATTTTATGGACTAAAGTGCAATATTGTCCAAGATTGAACCAAAATGCAATTTACTCAAAATTTCTAGTATAACCAGCATACTTTTTTCTTCTTGGGATTGCTACAATAACATGCGTGTCAGCATTATTTGTTGAATATATTAGAGCTTTCTTTTAATTATGATTGGTTTTAGTTGTTCATTTCTTCTGAGATCATTTACGCTATTTGTTTGCAGATTCCGTTAAGTTCCGTCACTTCTATTATTGATGGTTTGAAGAGATTGTATATGGACAAATTAAAGCCATTGGAGGCTACCTATCACTTCAATGAATTTGTTTCTCCTTCACTGGTATGTTGTGACTATATCTCAATATCTTGACTAGACACTTGCCAACTATAGCTAATGTGGGATAAATGATAAATTGAATTGATGTTTAAATGATATATTTTTTTAACTTTAGTTTTTCTTTTTTCTTGCTTTTGCAAAATTGATATAGTGATTTCTTGCTCCTTTATTAATCTGTAGACAAACAGTGACTTTGATGCGAAGCCCATGGTTATGCTCTTAGGTCAATATTCAACTGGAAAGACCACATTTATTAAGCATCTACTGAGAACTAGTTACCCGGGTTTGTTCAAATACAGTGTCACATTTCCTTCATTTTCAGTATGATTTTCTGTACTGGTCCTGCACTTCTGCCCTCCTTTTTTCCAACTTCTTTGTCTATCATTTGGTGCAGGTGCTCACATTGGACCTGAGCCTACAACTGATAGATTTGTTGTCGTTATGGTAAAATCAAGAATCCCTAAATTCAAATAGCTTTTTTTTATTGTGTAATTCACTCCATAGGCTAGAACCGACATGATAACCTCAAATTGTGCGCAACTTATTTCAAAAATCTTAAGGCTCTATGGCCTGCTGGTAAATTGTACTTTTGAAAACTTGATTGTCTTTTTGCACCCTAGCAAAACGGTCAAGTTTAATACGATGAAGATAACCATATACTGTTGTTTGTTAGTTCTCTTTTGTCAAAGCAAAACTTTGTTTTTTTTTGTCAAGCTTTTTAACTGAATGGCTGATTTTTAATTATGTCCAATACGGTGGAACTTTGTATTATTTGGTTTACTTAACATTCAAACGTTGTAATCTAGATGATCAGATCTTGCATTGATATGGTTTTCATTCTTTTTACTATTTCGCTTTTTTCTGATGATTCCCAAAGGAAATTCAAGATAATAACTTCTAAAGTTTTAAAAGCATTTATGCTTAGCTTGTAAAGGAAACTGATAGGAAGTGCTTGTAGAAATTTAGGAGAGTCTTAGCTGAAATCTAATTTCAATAATTTCTGAAAACCAACAACAAGAAAATTACGAATAGAGCACACAAGAACACTTTTTTATTGAAAGTTTTATGAAAGAAAAGACAAGATACAAGTAGATCTTCAATTGGAAAAAAGACAAGATACAAGTGGACCAAAATTGCGAAGCCAATTATTTAAAGGATGGCATGGTATTTGCTTGTACTTGATGATGGAAAGCTTGTAGCTATGCTCGTTTCTCATTAGATTTTCGTGAAAAAGTAGACATGAAAGATTGAATTGTTTTAAATTGTCAATTTCTTTCTTAAAGACTAAAGTTCTTTTCTGGAGTTAGATATAACCTCTTAAAGAAAAAAAAAATTGTATTGATCTGTGTATAATTCGAATGTTTATCACCTTTTGCGTTAACTCAAATTTAGTTTGATGTTTGAAAAGGAAAAATGAAATTTTAGTTTGATTTTTGACTTTAGTTCTTGATCTATATACTTGACTGAAAATCTTTGAGACTTTGACAGTGTTAATTGTGCAGATTTAATAGCTTCAACTATTAGTAATATATTCATCCGCTCAGTATAGATTCACCTTCTTTCACTGATTTCTTTGTATTATAAACCATTAAAATCTTTCATATTTTCTACGGTAGCAGATTTAGCTTCATCTTAACAATTCTCTTTGTTTCTTTAGTCTGGGCCTGATGAGAGAAGTATTCCTGGAAATACCATAGCTGTTCAAGCAGACATGCCTTTCAGTGGTCTCACAGCATTCGGAACTGCATTTTTATCAAAATTTCAGTGCTCACAAATGCCACATCCAGTAAGGTTTAGCTTTTTTTCAAATAAGTTCAAGCATTGTTGTTATTACTCATCATGGCTTTTCATAACTGTTGAAGCTCCTGGAGCAAATCACCTTTGTGGATACTCCTGGTGTTCTTTCTGGAGAGAAACAGCGAACCCAACGGAGCTATGATTTCACAGGTGTTACCTCCTGGTTTGCAGCAAAGTGTGATCTTATTCTTCTTCTATTTGATCCTCATAAACTTGATATTAGCGATGAGTTCAAGCGTGTTATAAGCTCTTTGCGTGGACACGATGATAAAATACGAGTGGTTCTTAACAAGGCAGATCAAATTGATACCCAACAGGTTCAAATTTTTTCTTGTTTTTCCTCTTAAATCTCTTGAAACATACATAAAATTTGCTATGTCAAGTTTGTTTTACCTTTTTTCTTTTTCTATCTGTAATCTCTGTTTTCACTCAAACAAATATTTTATAACTGCCTGCAGCTTATGAGAGTTTATGGGGCATTAATGTGGTCACTCGGCAAAGTCTTGAACACCCCTGAAGTCATGCGCGTTTATATAGGGTATGCTTATCATTTTTGTATGGTACAGATAGCGATAGCATTTATGATGCTAAATGAGATTTCTATCCACTAAAGTGACTTTTTTAAACAACAACATCAAGCTTTTATCCCACTACATAGGATCAGCTACATGAATAATTTTTCTCCATTGTGTTTTATTAAGTGTCTTTTTGTTATGTTATTATAGCATTTTAAAGCCATACTTAGTTTCAGCTAAGTTTAATCTTTTTATACTTTATTTAAGCTCTTTTACTACAAAATCCTTATCAATTAACTTTTTCAGGTCATTCAATGATAAACCAGTGAATGAAGCAGCGGTTGGCCCTATTGGAAAGGATCTATTTGAGAGAGAACAGGAGGATCTTCTTTCTGATTTAAAAGATGTTCCCAAGAAAGCTTGTGACCGCAAGGTATTTTGGCAGGACTCTTCTTTTATTCTCGTTCTTACATCTCCTTTTACGCATTTCAATTTTACATAATTTTCTCTTCAGATCAATGAATTTGTTAAGCGTGCAAGGGCAGCCAAGATTCATGCTTATATAATCAGCCATCTCAAAAAGGAGATGCCTTCAATGATGGGTAAGGCTAAAGCTCAACAACGGCTTAGTGACAACCTGGAGGATGAGTTTATAAAGGTACTTTTTTTTTTCCACTGATAGTTTTTATTCAAGAGTTCCAATGCATTGCCATTTACAGCTAGTTTTCCCTTGTGTAACTTCTACTACAATATCAACCCTGTGCGCCTCTGAAGTATTAGAATATACCATGTACACCCAGGGGTGTAAGTGAGCCGAGCTGGCTCGAGCTCGACTCGTTTATGGGCTCGCGAGCCGAGCTTATCGAGCTCACGAATCGAGTTCGAGCTCGTTTACTAAATGAGCTCGTTTACTAAACGAGCTCGAGTTCGAGCTTGAGCCGGCTTGGCTCGTGAGCTCGCGAGCCGACTCGAATAAATATTAATATTTTTAAAATAATTTTATTTTATTTATTAAATTTAAATATTAAAAAATTAATAAAAATCACCTAAGTTTTATTTAAATATTAAACATTTCATATTTGTTTTTTTTTGTTAATTTTGACTAAGTTTTAAAATTCGCGCTTAGTTTTTAAGAATCCAGCCTAAATTTAAAAATTTCTGCCCATGGCTCGCGAGCTGGCTCGAGCTCGTTTACAGTGAGGCGAGCTCGAGGCTTTCCATCTAACGAGCCGAGCTCGATAAAGGCCTAAACTCGACTTGAATCGACTCGTTTACACCCCTATGTACACCTACTTTCAATTCTTTAGGATCTAAAACGTTGTTGTTGCAGGTTCAAAGGGAGCACCATCTTCCAGCTGGAGATTTCCCAAGCGTAGATCATTACAGAGAAATGCTCAGTGGTTACAACATTGACAAGTTTGAAAAGCTAAAGCCTAAGATGATTCAAGTTGTAGATGATATGCTAGGATACGACATCCCAGAACTACTGAGGAATTTCAGAAACCCCTATGAGTAATATCAGTTTTGTTCTCTATGTTCTACTACTTGGATTAAGACATGGCTGTATCCACTTCTCTTGGATTTGGTCTGTACAACTTCGTCCTCCTATGGATCGGCTCTATGCATTCAGGAGGTTTGTAGAGAGAGAATGGGTAGAAGGGGAGTAATGGGGGGATTGAGAGTTCTGTTATATATATATATACTCAATATTGGTATTAATTCATCAAGCAGTTTCTTTATTATTTTCTCTAATATTTCAATAAAGCATTTCTTATTTTGTGCTTGCTTGATAGAATATATCTGCATTTATATTCCTAGGAAATGATGGATTTTTACGATTGTTAATGACAATACATAATCAACTTAGTTGTTCTCTTGATAAAAGGTACAATGGTGTGATTGATAAGATGAGCATTGGATGTCGATTATTGATAAACAAGAAAAAATAATTGCTAAGAAAGATTGAAAGTTGGGTGGTAATTGATGGTCAACATGGCACTTCTTTTGATAATAGGATGATAGGCAACTAAGAAGGCAAATATTAGATGTTGGTGGTTGATGGACACCGAATAATGACAATTGTATTCTTCGATGTCAGCTGATGGTTGATATGCTTCAATGTTAGTTGATAGAGAATGTAAGACATTGTTAGATGGTGGGAGATCATCTTGGTTCTCTTTATAATAGAGACCAGACAACCATGAATGTAGTTGTGTGGCTTCAGTCATTGGTAAGAGTTTGATGACGGTCGGTGAGGAGATTAAAAGCCCAATGAAAAAAATTGGTTGACTTGGTTGTTCTTATAATAGGAGGATTACTAGAATATCGAATGTTGGTCATTGGAATGTTAAGAGTTTAGTAGTTGTGAAAAGTGAGTTTTGTTGTTATCACAAATGGAGGGTAGATTGATAACAAAAAAAAAAAAATTTGTTCGACATCAAAATTTAACGAATATTGATTGTTAATATGCACCAAGCGACAATCAATGAGATATGTTAGAAATCAAGTGTTGGTAGGCTATATACTTTGCCCTTCTCCTAATAGAAGAGTAAGTCGATCGATAATACAGAGATTGGATGCCACTAATTGAAGGACATTGAATAATTCTCATCAACAAGTATTAAATAATTGTTGATGGAAGCATCTTAGAAGTTATTGGAAGGTGGGTGATAATCATGGTTGCTTTCGTAATTGAGGGGAGATCGTGCATAGGGCTGCAAACGAACCGAGCCGAGTCGAGTATGTGAGTGTTCATGTTTGTGTTTGTTTAACATTAGCTTGTTCATGTTTGGTTCGTGTTTGATTCGAGCTTTATTATTTGTGTTCATGTTTGGTTCGTTTAATTTAAGGGTGTTCATGTTTGATTCATGTTCGATTGTTTAGTGCTTATCGAGCTTTAAACAAGCTATGTTCGTGAACATATTTCGCAAACAATCTATTGAACAAGCAAACCTTAAATTTGTTCATGAACATCCTAAACAAACAATCTAACAAACATGGACAAATATGAAATGTTTCTTGTTATTAATAAAAAATAATTATATTATTATGTTATAATTAAAGTTTTTATATTATGTATATTTATCAATTTTATAATAACATATTATTTAAGTTTTTATCGAACGGTTTTAAACGAACCCTAATCGAGCTTTTTATCGAGCTTGTTCATGAACATCAACTGATGTTGTTCTCGAACATAAACGAGCTGAACGCATTAGCGTTCAAGCTTGTTTATTTAAGAATCGAGTATTTAAAATATTGTTCAAGTTTGTTTGTTTGTTAATTAAACGATCACGAACGAGCTTTAATCAAACCGAACAACGAGTAGTTCATCGAACGTTTGGTTCGCTTGCAGCCCTAATCGTGCAATAAGGAAGATATGCATCAGATATTGTACGATAGTTGTTAGTTGATGTTAACTTGATTATTGTCTTTATAACATGTTCGATCAAGCCATTGGAAAGGTGAATGTCATATATCAATGATTTATGGACATTAGATGTTAGTTAGTAGTATGCATTATATGTAAATTGATGAGAAATGCTGAAATTCATACAATGATGCATGATTTATTTCTTCATTCTCTTGATAGGATGAGAGATCGACCATGCAACAAAAAAATGGGTGTTGAAAGTTGGTGATTAATGAGCGTCATATGTTAGTTGTTGGCATGCATTGAGTGATGGTTAATAGGGTACATTGGAACCTAATCAATGATTAATGGGGCATGTTAGAAGTCAAGTGATGGTAGGCATTTGATTTGGTTGTTCTTTTGATAGGAGAGTTTGCATGATCAAAAATATATGTGATTAACATCATTGACTAGTAGACATTATATGTTAGTCATTTATAGGCATTATGTAACGCCCCAAAATCAAATATCCTTTTAAAGAATATACCAGATATTCTATAAATCATCAATATAAAAAATAATTAGTGAAAGTAACTAAAATCATACACATCAAAATATTTTATTATTTATTCATCCAAAATATCATTTACACTAGCCAGAAGATCACTCTATCACTAATCTATTACAAACTCCTGACTACGAAAGAATAATTGAAAATACATAAAAAAATTTAATGAAAACCTAAGGATCTCTTTGAATCTTACTCCAACTGGTTCTAACATCTTCCCTGACTTAAAATTATTAAAAATCTACATAATGAGCTCAAAAGTCCAGCAGTAATCCAAAGTTAACTAAAGCTTTCAATGCAATTATTAAATAAATCAATATAATATGCTCAATCTAATATAATTAATAGCAGTTAATATAGTTAATAACCATATATTATCATTAAAATTCAAAATGATCAATAATAAAAGTAGATAATCATTACAATAAATCTAAATATTAATAATTGATATAAAATTCAATAAATCGATAAAATAATGATGCATAAATCATTCATAAATAACTAAAAGAACCTATCTTATATATTCATATGCATCATTTGTTTATGTATTATCAATGCATCCAATATTATCAATGATAGTAATGTATATGTCAATATCATTAGTGTTATCAATATATGCGTGCATCAATATATGATTTAACAATACAAATCATCCAGCTTTAACGTGGTGTTTTCAACATCTTTTACTCATACTTATTCTAGTTAGTCATCAGTCATATCAATTATCACTTATCTAATTAATCAATTATCATTACATGTGACTTCATTAAATCAACAAAAAGTCATCACTCTCTGCCCGTTGGTGTAATCAGTCATCTATTACAGGCTACAACTGGGATATCACCATAAACCATCTTTAAAAGAAAGCTTATCAGCCCACCCTCCTACCCAATGTATTATGTTTTAACAACCAACCCATTTTATAGCATTAATAGTCAGCCTTTTTTGTTTATGCAAATGCCACAATAAATATGCAGTAAGAATAATCAATGCTATTCATCACAAAAAAATCTATATAACAATCAAAATTATTGAAAATTAAAATGAGATTTGAGTTATTTACAACAAATGGAAGAAGTTTCTTAATAAAATTGACAGATGAAAAAGTACCGAATAACATTCTCTCTCTTCCACTCTCTTCTTTGATAAGGTAAGACACTAAATTTAGATTTTTTATATACAAAAATTTCGAATTATTACACATTATATGATTTGATGGGGAATCTTATAAGAAAGAGAGGAGAGGGGGCGATGAAGATAGTGGGCTCCATAAGATGGTTTATGGTACTTTAAAAAGCAATTTTATTTTATATTGATGGAAATTCTCAACCATTTTATGTTAGTATATGCTACTTTAAAAACAAAAGAAACTTATTTAACTGGAGGAGAGAAATTATTCGGTGCGAAATCCGGACGGTAAAGAACCGTTCGAATGTGAGTGTACACAATATGTACGTTAAGTATAATTTTATATATAATTTATTTTCTATATACACAATATATATAAATATTGTGACACTCACATCACAAATAATTTATCACCGAAGGAATTCGAGTAGAAAACGTAAGAGTACAAAGGCCAGTGTGTGGAATAATTATTAGGTCCGGACACCTGACGTAGCTCTACATCCGGACGCCAATAACATGTCGTCACGTGCTGTTACTCTTTACCGCGCGGCTCGACGACCCGGTATTGCTGTGTTCGGGTATTGCTAGGTATTGCTCGATATTGCTAGGTATTGTTCGGTATTGCTATGTATTGCTTGACAATAACGAGAAATACCGCTCTATCAAGACCAATACCTAGCAATATCTAGCAAAATCGGGATATTGCTAGGTATTGCTCATGACAGATTTGTTTTCTTTTAATAAATTTAATTATTTTAGGTCTTGACAGATTGATATTTCTAGTTCTTGCCAAGCAATACCGAGAAATTCTGAGCAATACCTAACAATACCTTGCAATACCCCGGTCTGCACAAATCAGTCAATACATAGCAATACTGGATCCGGGTCGTCGGGCCGCACGATAAAGAGTAAGAGCACGCGGCAATATGTTATTGATGTCCGGATGTCCAATGCGTGAGAGTATGTGGCAAAGAACAAAGGGATTCGGATAGCGTTGGTCTCACATGCGGCCTCAGTTCTGGGAAAGTTCTGGATCACTAATTCTGTAAACAGAAATCTCCAAAATCAAACAAAATAAGCCACAAAGAAAACCGACCAGCTGAGAAATTCCGTCTCCTTCCGGCGAGAAGCAATGGCGAGCACGGTCATGGCTTCGTCCTCCGCCACCACCACTCACTTCCTTCGCCGAAGCTCCCAGAACCCATCCCGAGCGATAACCAAATCGATCCGCGCCAAAATCGCTAGGGACGAAAAGCCCCTTCTCATCCGTCGTTTGACCACCTTACTAAAGCCATCGGCGGCGGTGGCAGCGGTGGCAGCAGCGATTGCTGCGACGCCGATGCCGGCGTTGGCTGAGCAGATGGAGAAGGCGGCGCTGTTCGACTTCAACCTAACCCTGCCGGCGATCGCTTTGGAGTTTTTACTTCTAATGGTCGCCCTCGACAAGATTTACTTTACGCCTCTGGGGAATTTTATGTACGAGCGGGATGCGGCGATTAGGGCTCAGCTGGGGGATGTGAAGGACACTTCCGGGGAGGTGAAGCAGCTTGAGGAGCAGGCGGCGGCGGTCATGAAGGCTGCGCGCGCCGAAATCTCCGCTGCGCTCAACAAGATGAAGAAGGAGACTACTGCTGAGCTCGAGCAGAAGCTCGCCGAAGGAAAGAAGAAGGTGGAAGAGGAGCTCGCTGTGGCGCTAGCTGCTCTCAAGAATGAGCGGGAAGAGGCCCTCAAGGCCCTTGATTCCCAAATCAAGCTCCTCAGCGATGATATCGTCAGCAAGGTTCTCCCCTCTGCATAATGTCCTCCTTCCTTCCCTCCTCTCTCTTGCACTCTCTCTCACACCACATATAAACTTCCCTGTAGTTTATTGCATTTCGAATTACAAGACGATGTAATTAACTTTCTGACTTCTTGCAAGAAGCAATCTATGACAATTTCTTTGTGCCATCTTCTATAATTTTAATTTGATTCCTGCTCATCAGTTTTCTGTTTTACTTTGTCAGTTTCTTGAAATTGAATTGTGATAGTTGCAGATTGTGTACATATTATAGTTTATAAAAAAAAAGCAAGATTATTGGAGTTCCTCAAGGTTATGATTAGATTAACTGGTTTGAAGGTTACTAAAAATCAAATACCCAATGCTCCATCCATGTACTGGAAGAGTCGTTGAGTTAGAATTTCATCATTTAAGTTTTACTTTTTTTTGGCTCGCACACAGTCAATTTAGATGGGCATTAGAGTAGCACACAAGGTGTTTGTCTGGTGCATGACACTTATCGGCTTTTTGAAAGCTGGTAAGATTTAGGCTTCGTTTGGGACGGCTTTTTTACTGCTTCTTAAAGCAGCTTTCCAATACAAAAAATTTAATTTTTGTACTAAAAAATTGTTTTAAAAAGCAGTGTGAAAGCAGCCCCAAACAAAGCCTTAGTTAGGTTTAGACTTGGTTGCAAAACTCATCAAATATACTAATTAGGATATGTTTGATATCTTAGGTTTGTTTAAATTTGGATTTGGTCAAGTCATTCATTATCAATATTAAGGCTTATGAGGGTTCAAGGAATTTGCTCTCTATTATAACTAGTCATTTAGGTTTCGTTCGGGATGACTTTCTTACTGCTTCTTAAAACAGCTTTTCAGTATAATTTTTGTACTGAAAAGCTGCTTTAAGAAGCAGTACGAAAACCGTCCCAACTGAAGCCTTAATATACATCTTAGGTAAGCCCATTTAGCACCTTGTTAGGATAGTTAACGATAAATTAGTTTAAATATTATTAGAGGGTTTATATATATACTAAATTCTTATGTGTTTATATATCAACAACTAAATCCTTATATTTACTTATCTATCATTTTTATGTTTAAAGTACATAAAAGTATATACATGTAAATATGTATTTAAAGTTAATATTATGGTAAAAAAAGAAGAAGTTAATATTATGGGTTTTTTATTTGATTTAGAGATTTGAGTATTATTTAATTAAATATAAAATGTAGATATTAGAGGCGTAAATACATATGATGCATATGTAAATCCTTCCTTTTATTCTTTAAATTATTTTTTTCTTATTAAATGTTTAATATTTTATTTATTTATAAATTTATCTTTAATCATCTCATTTAAGTACCAATTAACATAGTAAGCTCCATTTAAACTTTAATTTATCTAGCGTAATATCCTAATCATTAATTATTTATCAAATTCTTAGGTTAATTAATACTTCGGTTTATTAACATGTTTAGTTACTTATTAAGGTTTCATTATCTTAATTAGGCTAATCAATTACTAAGTAGCATAAATAAATTTTATCTAAATTCTAAATTAACATTACTGATTATTAAATAATTACCAATTTTGGTTTAGTTGATATTTTAATTGTATCTATGGTTAATTATCATAATTAAATTAATAAAGTCAAACCTTCATAACTATATCAGTCTTCCAACATGTAAGTGCTCCCATGCCCAGATATAAAGAATATGTAGGCAACCAACTATATTATGTTTTCTGTCTTACCCACTTGCCTTGCTCTTATAAAGATGTTCTTACTCCATGGTATTAAGAGTGTATTATATTTGGAATGCTTTCATTTTGACTTTTTGAATTTTTGATATAAAGAAAAATAATTGTAGAGTATTTTTCTGAGAAGTTTGAATCACCCCCATAGGCCAATTATGAAAATGTTTGATCTTGCTTGATGCAGGTGAATTCTCAATTCCTTGTTTGTAGTCTGCCTTAGTTCAACTTCAATGGTGTCAATCACAGTAAATGACAAAAAACAAAATTAGTGTCAGTCACAATATTAGTATAGTGTTCGTAGCAGTGTCGGTATTAGCATTTAGATATTTAATGAGTGTATCTTAAGAGTATCTTGCTGATGCACTTATGACTCCCAATCAGTCGCCTTTTATAACTCCCAATTAATGTACTCCTTATAACACCCCTTGAATCATGTGAATCAGTCGTCTCAACTCCTTAAAACTCCCAATCAATCTCCAACTCCTTATGACTCACAATCAGTGAATCACATTGGTCAGTACAGTATCATGTGGGTATTATATCATGTATCTAATATCATTCACTATTTCATTTAAAATGTAATAAATCATATCAAATCGTTTAGAATGATCAAATCTATAACATATTCAAATTTACATAATGAAAGCTTATGAAATCAAGAGATAGCGTTTTTTTTGACAGATTTAAGAGAGAAAATTTATAGAATTCAAAATCATTTAAAACAAAATAAAAGATTATTCACGTACAATGAATAGAACAAAATCTATAAGAGAAATGACTGACAAATATAATCCAAAGACTTTTCTCTCTACTCTCTCTTCTTCCCCTCTTTCAATCTCCCTAGCCAAGCAATCAAATAATGAAGTCGGTGGCGTGAGACAATGATATATATATACATGGCATAGTGCCGCAACGCTCATCAAATTCGCGCCAAAATGCTTCACCTCAAAATTTTTATATTTAAAAAAAAATTATTTCACATTTTTGAGTTATTACATAAATTTATTGTAATATTTATTCGATTGCAAGACATATACAATAACTTTTAAGTTTTTTATCAACTAAACTAGTTGCCACCTTTCAAAAGAACCTCTTTTGACCTTCTGCAATCATATCCAACATACAAAACACTCATATCATGATTGTGTCCATGATGCTTTTAATCTTCCAAACCAGCCTCTTATTAGCACAATGGACTCGAGGTATAAGTAGCTCAATAATATGCCTCATCCATGATCATCTTATAAAGAGGCCATAATTATTTACAGTTATAGACATACTTTCATACAATAAAATATGTAGGAGATGAACGATATGTGATCAATTTAAGAATCAGAATTGTGAACATATATATCACACTATGTTATTTTATTTACATATCTAACATCTGAAATTTTAATATTACATACATATCATCCATAATTCACTTTCATATCCAATATGAGTGGCATATTTGATATTAAAATAATATAAGATGGCACGTATGTAATATTAAAGATTTTTGTATTATATATGTAAATAGGATAGTATAAAATGATATGTATGTAAATAAAAAAATAAATAAAAAATGAATGATTATGTGAAACATTAAGTGGACCGAAATATTTAAAAAAATGTTTGGTAATTATAACACAAAGTTGAGTTAGGCTTTATGTAGAACAATTTTTTTATTAATTTATTTTTCAAATTGTAATCATAATTTCTATTTGATCATCATTTTTTTATTACTTTCAAAAAATATTTATACTAAAAAAATTATTTTCAGCCATCCCAAACGAGATCTTAGTGATTCATAAATTATTGTTCAACACTGTATTTTTATTGTTCATCATCACAAAATCAAACAGTTCTCTACATCCAAATTCCGTGCGTGATAATATCTCCTCTAAATACAGTTGGAAGGGTGAATCTCACCTAATAATAGAAACAATACAAAAGCATATCAATTATTTCTTGATTTCATGTGAAAACAAAAATAAAATAAGAATATAAAAAGAAAAATTAAAAATGAACCTAATTAACAAAGTTAATGAAAATGATTCATTGGCCAATCAATTGATCTCCGAAACGAGCCCTTAATTCCTTATTACAATAATGATGACGACAACAATATCAAGTTTGTTTATCCCACTTCTTAATTTCTCATTAAAATTTCGTTTGGGATGACTTTTTTACTACTTAAAAGAACTTTTTAGTACAAAACTAAAAATCTGCTTTAAGAAGCAATAAGAAAATCATCCCAAACGAAACCTAAAACTTTATATGAGATGATTTTCTTATTGTTTTTAAAACAGCTTTTTAATACAAAAATTTATTTAAAAAAAAATAACGATCTAAAAATATCTCAAACAAAGTCTAAACAAATAATATTATGTTTCAGCATAAGTGGCCAAAAACTCACGAAGTCCGAACACATAGCAGTGGATAATTTAATACAATACTTCGATTATTTATAACAAATAAATACCTTTCCCCAAAAAGAAAATATCAGTAAAAAAAAGAATGAATTATATATAACAATAAATCTCATACAGAATTTCAATGAGCAGAAAAAAAAAAAAACAGTAATAGTGCTAAAAATCACAACCTAACAAAAACGCTAAGACTAAATTTAGGGCACACATTAAAGCCTTCTGATGGACAAAACTATAATGATCTCTGTATGTATGATCCTGAAGGATTGATGATGTCCACTGTGAAAGCTAGAAGGAAAGACATCACAAGCAAAAGAGGAGTGGTGCACCCAACATGAATATACCCAATCAGATCAGATCATCAAGCGCTGCCTAGTATTTATACATTGAATTGGACTGAGGTGGTGGTGGGGGAGGAGCCATCCGGTTTGGAGTGCGACGGCGGCCGGAGTTGGAACCGGAGTTTACATCGCCATTTTCTGCTGGGTCACTATATCGCCGGCCATGGCCATTTCTGCTGTTGGATCTTGATGACTCAAGAGATGATGGCCCATTTGCTGCTGCATCAAATGCAGATCTCCAGTCATCACCAGCGGTAGCTGTGGCACTTGGGCTGCTCTCTGTAAAAGGATTCAATAAAAACATGAAATAGATGTATAAAAAACAACAATAACATCAAGCCTTTGTCCCACTACGTGGGGTCGGCTGCATGAATCTTTTTTCGTCACTGTGTCATGTTAAAAGTCAAATTCTCATTTAAATCTAATAAAGAAAGATCATTTCTAAAAATTTTTAACCAAGTAGTTTTAGGTCTACCTCTACCTTTCTTAACATAAGACAAATCTAAAACCTCAACTTTCCTAACCGGATCATCGGAAGGCCTTCGTTTAATATGACCAAACCATCTAAGATGGCTCTCTCTAATCTTATCTTCCACTAGAGCTACTCCAACCTTTTCATGTATATGCTCATTTCTTATCCTATCGCTAAGGGTAAAGCCACTCATCCACCTAAGCATCCTCATCTCTGCAACACTTAACTTAGTATTGCTTAGAGTTATTTCAATAAAAAACATGAAATAGATGCAATTATACCATTAAAGAATTGCTTAGAGTATTCGACTGTACATGAGGTATGATACGGAAGAACTAGAACATACCTGCCCCTGAGTTACTATCAGACCATGAAGCAGCAGCCACTCGATTGTCATGGATGCTAAGTGCACGAGTAAGCTTTGAAAGAATGGATGACTGTCTTTCAAATTTTTCTCTCTTCTGCTTGACATTTTTGTCTTCTTGGATCAGTTCTTCAATCTTAGATGTGCTCTGGGCACTAATCAATAAATATGAAAAAACTGATTAGAAGTCATTAAGATGTCCAGAAAATCGAGCTTGATTTGTGTGGCAATCATACAGTAGGGAGACAAATTTCAATTAAATGGTTAAATTACAATTATAAACAATTTTCATAAGTAATAGAGAGGTTCCAATTTTTCCAAAATAATTTGCTGAAGTTGAAGTTCAAGGAAGCCAGTGGAAAGAAATGTAAATAGAATCACAGAAAATATCAAGTAGAGGTTACTGATTTTGGCCAGGAAGAACATTTCAACCAGAAATTTTTTGTAATTCTGACAACCAACCATAAAAAATGGCATCAAATCCAAACCTTCATAATCTGTTCAACCACTTGGAGAACAGCTCCACTGAAATTTGTTATTGAGTCAATGGGTTCCAGGAACTAACCTTATATTAAAAATAATGTCTACCAAAACAAAACATAATATAATATCACCACTTTGAGATCAAATATCTATTCGGATTGATTTGCTTATCCCTCTTCAAAACACTCAAGCTGATATTTGATAAACCTCTGTAACGCAGCTAACGGTTAATGGTAAACATTCATACTTGAAAAAGAATAGAAATAAACTATTCTTCACATATAGATTCCAAAAGAACCATGATTCACTAGAATAACTTCAACGTTGTATACGGAAAAATACATGCTTTCAAAGGAAAAACTAACCTCACAGAACTATATAATTGGTTTAACATGTCTTCCTTTGCCTTCTCCACTTGACAAAGCACAATAGCCTGCACCATCAGCCATGAGAATAATAAGATTGTTTCCAAGCATAAGCATATTCATATGGTGGCTGACTGAAGAATACTTGCCTTAGGGACATTTGCAGCAACACTGTTCAAAACAGCTTCAACATAACCACGGACCTCTTGAGACATCCATCGAAGCTCCTCTTCTGGATCAGCAGGTTTCCTGACCATTGCGTCCTAAGGCAAAATGTCAGAGAGGCGATTAATTCAGATTTAGCCTTAGAAACGTATGCTGTAACACCATACTAACAAGAGCAGAATGTATAAATGGTATTTCGGTGCTCATATTTTCACTAATGGGATAACTTAATTTTGTAATTAACTGAAGAAAACACAGAAGACCAAATGAAAGTTAACTAAATTGAACAAAACCCCCAAAACATATCCAAATTTAACTAAAAAGAAACAAAACCATACAATAATATAATATTACAATTCAAAAGTATGCCTTTGTGCATCTCTATTTGAAATGCAAGCACTTATCAGTTTAAGGAAGCTACAAAAGTTTTCAAGTTCTAAGAAAATAAATAAAAAAGTAGCACTTTCACCTTTAATAGGCTACAATCAAATTCTAGAAAATAGGAAAAGCTACAGAGATATCTATGCAATGTAATTAATGCTTTCAGGAGTTATGTACAATATTTACCAGTGACCCATCTGAATGGTTTTGCCTCATAGGTCCAACATGAGAGCCTAGCGTACCTTTGGGAGGAACTCCCTTGGGTTGAGCAATACTTCGCATCTTATTTACCCACTCAATTTTGTCACTTAAGCTCTCAGCCTTCAAAATAACAGCACTATGGGCTGCAAAATTAACAGATAGCGTCACACCATAAAAGGAGAAATCAGAAGAGAGAAAAAGCATGCATGAAAAAGCAACAAATATCAAAGAATGGAAGTCACCTTTCATAACAGTTTTATATTCAACTTTGTTGGTTATCTTAAAAGCAAGCGTTGAACCTTTAGGATCTGGTCCATTTGCCTTTTTTGACTCCTTTGAACTTTTAGGAGGTTCTACCTCGTCCAATGCATCTTCAATGTTGCATTCCTTCAGATTCAAGAGAACCAATGTATTATCATTCTAATGATGCAAGAGCAATAATTAGGTGTATGCCAGTCGATGGAAAGGAAGATAGGTGATTGTGTCTGTCTATAATCCTCCTCAAGTAAAACTTATCCCAACTATTTGTTGTTGGCTTTATTAATCCTCATTCTCAATTCATTATAATTGACGGCTGCATGAGGCATGAAATCTACTTTTTGCAGGTTTTTTTTGTTAAGTATACAATTTTCCTTCCTCATTATGCATTAATTTTACCTCTAAGCTTTATTGATAGATTTTCTACCCTCCATTGTTCATGCCCAAATAATTCTATTTTTCATAATCATATCTTCAATAAGTGGCACTCTCACCTTATATAATATAAATATTTCTGAATGAATTCATCATAAATTTACTGCCATGTCAAGCTGCACTTGATGACTTGGCTAGGTACTTCTTTATTGACTCAAAACTAAACCAATAAATAAATACTATTATTGACTAAAAAAGCAATAAATATAGCTTATGCAATTAGAATTTATCTCAAAGTCTCCATGATATTGCTTAATTGCATAATAAATTTGAGGGACTTTTTCATTTTAGCTAATTCTTTTATATAATAGATTCAAGATATTAAAATGATCACACTCCAGTTGACCTTCTAATAATGTTGACAAATAATTATCAATTTTAGACTAAATAAAATTGCATACCAAATACTCGAATGTCTTTGTCCTACTAATCCTAAGCTCATTATAAAATTTTTTCCATATTCCTAGCTTTCACCTATTTCAATAAAATAGTATGTATTTTATAAGTTACGATGAGAGTGAAGCAAAATGCAGCATTATTGTGTTAATAGCCTTGACAGCATTATTGTGTTAATAGCCTTGACAATACTTTGATTTTTTTTACTAAAACGAAGATGTTTCTGTGTGTGTGTGTGCAGTGCATGCCAGACAATTTTACACATTAAAAATGCATATCAAATACTCAAGAGACTTCGTCCTAATAATCCTAAGCTCATCGTAAATTTTTTTCCATATTCCTAACGTTCACCTATTTTAATAAAAGAGCATCTATTTTATAAGTTACAATAAGAGTGAAGAAAATTGCAATATTATTGTGTTAATAACCTTCATAGTACTTTAATTTTTTTTACTAAAATAAAGTTCTCCCTCTCTCTCTCTGTGCTAGTCACGCATGTGTATGTGGGAAGAAGAGAGAGAGAGAGAGAGAGAGAGAGAGAGAGAGAGAGAGAGAGAGAATATTCTTCATATTATAATGCATGTGTTATATGATACAAAAGAAAAAGTGTTGGGAATATATTATATAAATTAGGTAATATCCCACGCTAATACACAATGTCTATAATATGTAATTCAGATATATAGACATGGTCCATATCCGTAGAAGATTCTAATATCAATCAAAACTTCAAAACTCAATCAATCATGCAAACAAAATATACAAATAGCTAATGTATTAGAAACATTGCTTAGGAAAAATTCTTCCACGTAAATATATAAACCAAATACAAACTACTAAAGAAGATAATGTTTCTTCACAAAAACATGCAGCGTATGGTTAGACTAGTAATTAGGTATGAAACTTTAAACTCACACGATAGTTGCTTTAAGTTTATTCACATCTAAATTGAAATTGATTAGCTTTGACAGTTTGACTCGAAAATGGCTCACTAGAAATGCGTTCAATTCACACAATCAATTTGCTGCATGATATATGCACACATGTGTCAACACATATGCATACATAGATATAATTATAAAATACTTAGTATACCTGAGTGTATATATATATATATATATATATATATAGGTAATAATCTTGGTTAGTAACTAAACAATAATTTTTAAAATTAATGAGCTTGGCATAAATTTGATTGACCAGACTCAAATTTCGCTCCAACTAAAATAAAAATCTTTGTTTATGCCAGTTCACTCATACTCAACTCAATACATCCCTACATGTAATTAAACAAAAAAATGTTTTTAACAACTAAGTCTTCAATTTGCATGTTCACTGGTAGAAGCTCATTCATCTTGGGTTTAACAAGGATGACTATATAAAAAAAAAAAAAAAAAAAAAAAAAAAAAAAAAAAACAAGGATGACTATACCAATATGTATCTTAATGCACTCCTTGATAGCTTTCAGAAATAGAAGAAGCTTAAGGTTCCATTTGTGAAGTAGCTTTTTCATAGTTTTGCTTTTCATAAAGTTGTCATAATTTTATTTTGCAAGAGCTTTTTTTGCTGCATTTAAAAAATTTCTATGATGAGAAGAAATATTATAATCAGATATGCTAGAATTTAGTAGCTGTTAGAAAATTATTATCGAACTTCTTCAAAAAGTCTATAACACCCACAGTAGCTTATAAATTTAGTTTTCCCACAACAGTTCTACAACTATTTTTATATATAGATGTAGCCGCCCCAAACGGACTCTAAATTTGGATGAAAATAGACTGGCATAATTGAAATGAACCACTGCAAGCTCAAGCAGAAGCTTGATTGCATTTTGGGGAAAAGAATAGATATATAGAGCAATATTTCAGCTAAAACCATCATCAATAACTGATAGTAATACTTTTTTACATTTTCTTGAAATATAAATATGTTATTTACCATTAATTAGACAAAACAACTCAAACCATTGCCTCATAGCATAACCCTTTTTTTTTCCAGAAAGCAAAAAAATAACCTAATTTAAATTGAAATTAGACATAGGCCATACAAAGCATATAGATCATACCTCTAAAGTGATGACACCACGAAAATGTTTTTCCTCTTGCGTCTTAGTGTATCCAAGCTAATCAATAACCAAGAATAACAAAATTATTTTATTCAGTAAAACAACAATATTTGACAAATTACATAAAATATAAAAGGCAACAACATTTATGTAATAAATTTCCCAGCAAGTGTACAGGGCCGCTAACCTTGCCACTCTTTTCATTTAAAACAAACCAACGCCTGCTCCAGCTATTTGTCTTTGCACTTTTTTTCAACAGGAATCCTGGAAGTGAAAAAAAGGATGATTGGTTAAAAAGAAACACAAGCTATACCGATTGAACAAAAGTACACGTCCTTACAAAAAACACAAGTGCTGCCTACGGCTCCCTATGTAACACGGATACTCTTATTTACGAGGCATGCAGTATCGGACACGTGTTGGATACGGATACGCCTCTGATACGACATGGATACAATTAAAATATTATTTAAATTTGACCGGACACGTGTATCGGATACGCGTGTTCTATTAAAAAAACGAAAAAAAAAACGGAACCGCAATTTGCCCTATTCATTTCGGCTCAATATCCCTATTCATTTATGCGGCTTAAACATTTCAGCGAGCTAGGTTTTTCGTTTCCGCACAGGTGTTCGTCTTCTTCGTTATAGTCGAAGGAGCGGCTATATGACGCAAGCATAGAAGCGGATAGGATCATCCTTCGTCGACGAAGAGGCTCGACGACGCGAGCATTAAAGCCGACAGGATCATCCTTCGTCTACAGGGCGACTCGACGATGTGAACAGTGAAGGAAACGTGAGAAGTGAATGTTCATTTTCTTCGCTCTTCGTTTTCTTCATTCTCCGTCGACGGAGCGACTCGGTACTGGGTACCGCTCGGTACTGGAACTCAATACCGCTCGATACTGCTCATTACCTCTCCGCAACACTCGGTAACATGCTCAGTATCAATGCTCGGTACACTCGGTACTAAATATTTAATGCTTACTTTTATTTTGACATTATAAGATACAATGATACAAATAATGTTGCTTTCTTTTTTTTTTTGTCATTTGAAATATTACGCTTTGATTACTTTCTTAATTTTTTATGTATGATTTATATATTATAATGTCGTATCTGCACCGTATCCGTATCCTGTATTTTTAAGAATTGTCGTGTCCCGTATCCATATCGTGTCATATCCGTGTCGCCGTATCCGTATCGATGCAACATAGATTGGTCCAAAAGGATAGTGATAGAAGGCATTCAGCCAATACTTCACGGATGGTTCATTGTTACATCTTTTCATAAATACATTTCAATTATAGAAGTAGCACATTACTATACCATTTTCACAATTAAAATGTACTTTCAATCCTCAAAGGTTCAAAGTGTCCCAATTCTGAAGTGTAATGGTATTTATTTAACAAACCACATATCTTTTAAAAATTCATCGGTTACATAAGGTCCCTATGCCACAGATTATCCAAAAATATTGCAAGATATTTCAATCATCTCAACAATCCATGCCTGAGAAGGACTGCATTTGCCACCAAAATGCAGTAAGCACCTCGTGGCTGTCAAACATCTGGCACAAGATAGAACCATCATGCCCACAAATAGTGATGCCGATGGACCAGATGAAGCTAGAGTTGGCAACTCCTTGCTCCATGCCATACCATTGTTTTAATGCTTATCTTTGAAAGTGGGTGTTATTAAATAAATACAAAAACCAAGACCAAAATACTTGCAGATGTGAGATTAGTGCCAAGGTTTGGGTTAGGTCAAATATTGGTACAAGAATCTAAAAATTAACAGGTTTAGCAGACTTAATCACAAATTTTAAAAATATTTCTGAAGCCATTCTTAAGGTTTTCATCATAGTTAACACAAAAAATTTGCAAGTAGTGTAGATATATCACAATGACATGCTTAGAACAATATATATGCAATCTATTCAGCAAAGCCACAGATTCAAATTGAAAGATAAGCATGCCTGCCGTTATCTCTCCTTCAGGCCCAACAACTTGCAAACTTGACCCCTCTTTTGCGTCTTTATTTTTGTCAGAACCGGACTTCTCTTTCATTGACTTCAAGTTAGCACCTGATTGTTGGGAATCCGGCAGAGGACTTGTTGCCTGCACAAGATCAAAGATATAACTAACCACTGAAAACAGAAACTATATTAATTTATATAAGGACAAAGTAATTATTCAGTGAGAAACTAAGCATTCAATTGCAGATTCAATGCTTCAGATGGTGCATGCATATCCAAGGACATGAATCAACATAAGATAGATGCGAATGCATCCAAGAGGGGGAATACCCACTCTGTTTAGTAAAGCTTGTTCAGCATCCTGAGCCTTCTTAGAGGAACGAGTCTTCTGTTCTTCTTCACGGCGTTGCCTATCCATCCTGGTCAAATTATATAAAGATCAAAAGCTAATTCATGTTGAGACACCATCTCAAATATTAATCAGCTTGAATGCCGATTGAATAAAAATATTAAACCATTCTATGCACATGAAACATTTATAGTATTGCACGAACTGAATTCTATATTAGCATACCAATATGACTGACGGGTGAACAGTACTTTAAGGATGATATAATTGCTAGCATAGACACAAATGTGAAGTACAACATAAAGCAAAAGTTGGCAATGCTTTGAATTGACAGGTCAGAGAAGGTTAACTTTTCCGGCAGGAGGCAAGATAAAGAAAAGACGACTAAATCATTTTAGCCGATCCAAAAGATGGTAATCTTATAGCTCACATTATTGCAATTGTACAACTCTACATGAAGGCTCAATTCATAAACTGTTTGTCCTATATATATATATATATATATATATATATATAAAACAAATCACATTTTCATGCATCCCCTAGAAGTAGTAGCTTCTTCTTGACTGTCTCGACCTCTTGTCCGGCACCGCCTCCACAACCACCGTCGTCGTAGTCACCGCTGGGAAGCACTTGGAAGCAACACACCACCACCACCACCTCTAAAAATTTTGGAATATTACTCTCATCCTTATGTTTATGATAGATATTTATGAAAGAAGAAGATTAAAATAAATGAAATAATTAGCAGATTGCGAGGCATTAGACTCCATATGATAAGGCAGAAGAGAGATCAATTTGTTATGATGATGACTCAAATAAAAACACTGCTCAATGTGATATTGCAGATGATTTTTAAATTGTTGCCAACTATTTCAGCTTTCTTTAGGAATAAATGTGGATGAGTAGAGAATGCGAAAAGAAGAAATTTGGAATTAAACTTGATGTTATATGATACATTTATGCATTCCTATATTGTATATTATTTTACTCTTGTAATATTTAGATTTTAATTCTATTTCACACTATTTATCACGTGCCACTTGTGCAATTTTTTATTTAATATGTATGCCAATTTATTACTTATAGCTCAATAAAAAGTTAAGATATCATCTTTTAACATATTATTGGGGTATTATACAAAAATTACTTTTAACAGTTTTAACCTTTATTTTTGCTTTAAGTAATTTTTGAATTTTGAGGTTTATACATCATAAGTCCTTGAGGCTTATGCTTCGCCACACGTGTGTATATATATATATGTGTGTGTGTGTGTGCGTGCGCGCGCGCATGCTCCCCTACTGAGAAGAGGGCACTCAAAGCACCAGAAGGCCAACACTGAGAAGAAGGCTCCCAAAAGAGGTCCTCAAAACGCCAAAGTTGAGAAAGTTTCCAACAACTAAGAGGAAACGCAAATCAATCATCCTAAATGTAATACCCAGTGAGAAGTGTATAGTTCCACCTATTATGATCTGATCTAGTAAGAGTAATGTACTAAAATTTCAGCATTCTCTACTTCTTGCATGTTTCTGTGAATATTCTGTATGCATGTGAATGTTTAAAACTGTTCTGAAGCGGGTCACAAGGGACTGCATGCATGAATAGGAAATTTGATTTTTTTTTTCCTTGGGAGCACTGCGGCATTGAGCTTTCAGGTTTAGTTCATTTTATTATAAATATTATTTTTCACTTAAAAATCCATTTAAAAAAAATCTTTCCCCAAGTGCTGCTAGCCTGAGAGAAAGGGAGGGAGTTTTAGAGAGAGAGAGAGAGTCTATTTCAGGAGACTTCGATCTGCTTTTTATTGTCGGCCCAGTTTGAAAAGTTGATCGAGTCAATATAGGTTATATTATGTCTATCTTAGTTTTAAAAACAAGTTGAGATTTTTCTGACTAAATTTATAATTTCATAGCGTAGCAACAAGAATAATTTAATCTCAGTTAAACTTTTACCATGTAACTTTATATATGTTTTAGATACGATTATTTTTAATATTTATATATATTTTTGAAAAATTTCCACTCGATTATAAAAAAAATGAACTATTTTTAGCAAATTAAAAAATAATTCTGATCTCGGAAAATAATGTTGTAGAAAACTATTAAAGCTTTAAAATACTCTTCTGAACAATCCCTAGTAATCTGGTGAAATTCTAAAATGATAAAATTTTACTCAATTGTTGAATCTTATGACTACTGATAAAGTATTATGTGAATTTTTTAAATTCATTATTTATATTTCTTTTATTGAAATACAAATATATATGCGCTAATATACTTGAAATGTGTGATTTTAAGGAGCTCTGATGTTATAAGAAGTTTTGTTATGTTGAATGCACTGGGAGTCGTACGAGTCTAAATTTCTGAATATTTGATGTGCTAAGTGATTGGAAATCAAAAGTATATGTTTTTTGATATGCCAACACAGAGTCATAAGGGTCTGAATTCTGATATCTATTTATAATGGGAGGTATAAAGTCTTGACATAAATTTGTTACTTTATATGCTAATTTATGACGTATTTGTTCATTTACATTCAATGCATAGTATGTAAACTTTTAATTGTTGTAGATAACTACTTTTAAATTCAGTTGCATTTAAAATGGGTTAATTATTAAAAATTAGGATTCGTTGGTGTGATCTGCTGAGCTGTATAGGTTAACACATTTTACATTCTATTTTAGATCAAGAAAAGAGGAAAGAGCCAGTAGAATAGCTGAGGTTGCAGGTTCTGATCAATCCAAGTCTGTATAGGTTTTTTTTTTTTTTATAATTTTTGTACAATCATGGCTAGTTATTGTTTTGCCCATTTTGATATATAGTCATGTACTGTAGTGTGAAAATTTATTGTATTGTATTGTGTGTGTGTGTGTAAGTCATCGGCACTGTCATCACTAAGGGGTCCTTCATTTGAATCATTATTATGGTGAACTGCTCTCTCCCCTTCCTCCTCTCCTATAGAGTCCAATGTCGGGCATTTCAAGATTTATGTAAGTTTTAATATATATAGCGTGAGGCGTAAGCCTCATGCCAGTGAGGCGAGGCGGGCCTCAACCAAGTTGAGGCGCAAGCCTCATAAAAAAAAACTCGAGGCGTAAGCATCGAGGCGTTTTTTACTGGAATTGCGCAAAGGCGAGCCTCATATTGCGCAATTTTAAACCATGATATATATATATATATATACCTAGAACATAGGAGCACTAAATCCCAAGGATTTCTAGCTAATCTTGCATGAGGAAGTGGATGTGGCAAATGTGGAGTAACATTAAGCTAAAAACTGACCCAACAAGGGGGGATAGCGACCAACTTCCTTTTCTTTCAATAGATAGGGACCAATTATTTCCAGTAGTCTTTACACCCTCTTTGTTCCTCACATTTCATCTTGATCCCTACATCCTAAAATATCTCTTCGAATTAAAATATACATATTAGTATAAGGCTCTAATCCCTATGTCAGTGGTGGGGGAACTCAGATAAGCCCTTCAAACATATACATTTAAGCGTAACCAAGAAAATGATCAATGCAAATGAAAGGTAGATTCACAGAAAAGGAAAATATAAGAAGCACAATCTTCTTCAGTAACTTGAACCATTTCCTTGGAATGCACTATTCAGTTTTCTACTTATCAATAGTGCAGAAAAACCTTGTGAACCAAAAGCACCGTGAATAGCAAAACAGATATAATTTGCAATGGAAAAAAACCTTTATCTGTTAAGATAATAATTCAACCTGTTAAAAGAATTAAAACACTCAAAAAACAGAACCATGGAAAATGTGCACTTCTGAGGAAAATAAAACTAGGCGATTGAACAAACCTTCTTTGCACCAAGCGGATAAAGTGTTGAGGAGGAACATAAGCACGCTCCATATCAACTAATGCAACCACCATCTTTTTCGCCTCATTTCTAAAATTTTCTAAAGCATTTGAAGCAATTGCAATAACCTTGAAAAAGAAAAGTATAAATTACACTATAAAAACTTAAGAAGAATTGTTTGCAAATTGACTTAATTAAAATACTTGATCATAACACCATAGCAACCTCACGCTTAAATGGAGTATATCGTCCCAGTCCTGGTGTAGCATTTGCAGCTGCAGATACTATATCTACCAAAACACGATGCACCTGCTCAAAGTGATTAGTGAGCGATGAATGGTTGAACCAAAAGAAAAAAAAAAATACAAGGTAAAAATCCAACAGAGACAACTGTATAAAGAACTCACACATCTAAATTGTGAAAGTAATGGCATATCAAGGTTGAAGCAAGTTGATATTAGTAGATTAGATTACGGGTAAATCTAAAGCAGCGCATAAACAAGAATCAATACTAGTAGTTATGTATGAAGTATGGTTAAATCTTACCTCATCAACACAAAGGCGAGAAGGTTCTTTAGCAAGTTCCAGAACTCCTTTAATTAAAGATCTTAGACCTTTCTCTGGAGAAATAAGATATGGTTGATAACCATCAGCTTCCAGCACAATCTAAAATGCAGCATCAACATCAGGAAACATTTTAGGTATAACAAAAAGGTTAGGGTAACAAAAGTCAATGAAATTTGAATTGATTATTAATACCCTCTTAATGTTATTAATATCGAAGTGCTTGTCCAGTGGAAGCTGCTTGATCCTGGTAGGGAAGTTGCCCTCAAAACTAGCAACAACTTTCCAACCCCCACCCTGCAGTTGTATTAAATAGAACAATTCAAAGTTATAAAAAATAGGAGAAAAAAATGAAAATATTAAGTAACAATAAATTAGAAGGCAAAAAATGATTTGAAAGAAGATAATCACATCTGATAAAAAAAATGTCATGAACTAGACAGCAAATTGTTTTCTGGTTTGCAAAAACAGAGATAACACCCAGGCGTGCAAGTGCAAGGATGCTTACACTAAGGGCATGCTTGATTATATGCAAGAAGTGACAAGTGGTACGTAGAGGAAAGTGATCAGTTTAACTATTTGGTTGGCAAGGGAAGTGCCTTTCTCCCAAAGAAGTAACTAGACTAATTCTTAAGAGTTTCGAATTTGGGATTATATGACCCGAAGTCACTTTTAGAATTAATTAAATATACAAAAAAATCTCAAAATAGTCCCCATACTATTGGTGTATGGCCAATTTAATCCCAGAGTATCACATTGCCCTAATTTAATCCATTGACAATACAAAATGATCCAAAATAATATCACGTTGTAATCATTAAACTATGTCAATTTTAATTAAAACTCTTAAATCCATTTATGTCTAGTAATAAGCATATATGTTCAAATTAATTACATCAAACATACAATTAGTTAAGCCCAATTATAGCTCAAACTCAATAAAAAAAAACTAATATACAAACTTGGAGAAGATTTAAAACAAAGGTCATGTTCAAACTTGGCTCAAATTTGATAAGAAAATAAATAAACAAGTATTAACAAGATAATATTCAGCTCCACTTAAATCATCTACAAATCTAATTTGAGGCATGGTGATCAAGATTGGAAGCAAAATATGATGATCCAAAGGATAGCAAGATTAAGATGGATTTTGAATTTAAAATGGATAAATTTGTAATTTATATTTTAAATTCCAATAGGAGTTTATTTCCTTTTATTATGCAGTTATTTAAAGAAGATTTAAATTGTTTGTTATTGTTTTCCTATAAATAGGCATGATTCCATGAATGAAAAGCATTCCAAAATTCTCATAATTGTTTCCCTCTCTCTCTCATCTGTACTATTGCTACAAGCCCTACTAGGTTCCAAAACTTTGTTGACTGCAACACTGCAGCAGCTAATCGTAGTGGCTTTTTCAGTGCCAATGACCCTTCCTCTATACTCTGATAATACTTACAACCACCAAAATTTCAACCTACAACACCAACAAGCCGTCCACTTGTTATTCTACCAACAGACATATGAACATAACATTCTAGAAATTCTCTTTCAAGCAATTCTAGGATAATACAGCAAAAAACTTGTACGGGGATGCTTGCCCTCAGGAAAAGGTGAAAATGTTTGGGCTATGGCATGAACACCGCTTTTGCAAGCCTATGCCCCATTTTTCCCGATGTAAATCATATTTTTAATTTAACCAGATTTTCTCTAATGATCGGCATCAGGGTTTTATTTAGTTCTGAGGCTCCACTTCCTATGAGCGTAAGCCCTCATAATTAGTTAACCCTTCTAACGCGTAGAAGAGCACTCTCGATTAAGGATGAAAGTATATTTAGTTGTGCAAGGTGTAGAAGTGTACAAATAATTTTAGTTTTAATTATGGGGGATGAAGGTACACCCGATCAAGATCCCATGATTCTGTCATCCCGGGTATACTGTAGGTTTTAGCCTACCAACACTAACAATCATTAATTGTAGCATATAGGGAATCTGATTAGCAACCATGAGTTGCCTTCACACAGGGATCCTGAGTAAACTGAAGTGGATAGGTGTGGGTTTTAATTTTATTATAGTTTGGGTTGGGACTTGCGGCTATGCTTAAGAGTTGCCCGGAGTTTAGAATTAGGCTGCCTCCTATGACCCCGTTTAGGAGTTGTCTGTAGTTTAGCTTAGGTTAGGTATTACGAGCCCATTTAGGAGTTGTATGTAGTTTAGATTTAAGTTAAGTCTTACAGCCTCGTTTAGTAGTTTACCGTAGTTTAAATTTGGGTCGGAACTTACGACTTTCATTGAAAGTGGCCAGTGCAGCAGGTTTATGGCTTTACTTGAAAGTAGCCCGTATTGCAAGTCTTACGACCACTATTAGAGGTTGCCCAAGTGTGGTTAAAAGCGGATCTTATTGCTTTACTTGGAAGTAGCCAATATGTTTTGGGTACGAATAGGTATTATGGCTTCTATTATAAGTAGCCCGTGTAACAAGTTTTACAACCTCTATTAAAGATAACCCGTATAACGTTTAATTTGTAGGATTTGCTTCTTTCGTTTGGAAGTAGCCACTGAGTTTGATTACTACCCTTGGGGAATATTTGTTACTCTTCTTGGGAGGGTATATGATTCCCCTTGAGATGTCGTGTGCATTAATTTAACTAGAATTTATCCTATTTTAGCTAGTAGTTGCTTGTTAGGCTGTCTTCTACCTTAAGCTCTTAGCAGTGTACTGTGGTTTTGCTCGTAGCCTTCGTGCTTTAGCAGTAGCTTTATGATAGGAAATACTTGAGTTCGCAAGTAACCCTAAGGTAATACTTGAGTTCGCAAGCAATCCTAACCCAAATCGATAATCAAACAGCAAAAATACTGCTGTCCACAGCAGGAAAACAGCCCAGGTCTGCTGTTTACAGAAGAAAAAACAGCAATTTCAAGGGAAATCTGAGAGAAAACTCAACAATAGACTTGTATTCCACTAGAAGATGAAATAAAATAGCAACGATACAGTTGTTCTTCAATTTGAGTGGAAGAACAACTCTCCAAATCTCCGGCAACACCAAGAGCCCAAAGCACAAGAACCCTAGATCTCAAATCAAATTCAAATTCAAGATATCCCCTAATTCCCTCATATTCCCCTAATTAACATCAAGGGAGAATTACAAAATACCTAATTAGCCCTTACATTCAAAATCACCCCCCCCCATAATTTGCATTAAGCCCAGCATGGGGCCCACAGGAGTTCTGCCCCCCTCCCTGTGTTTCTTCCGCCGTGCATAAACCTGGACCGGTCCAGCTGGCCCCTCCTGGGCTGGCGTGAGCATGGGCGTAACACTTTACTTGTTTGTTTTGTTCTGTTAGCACTAGTTTTGTTCTTTCCATCATTTGTTTGAAGGTGTTCGTAGCTTGTAGTTGCAGAAGCTGGAGCTTGCAGTGGCAAGGTTTATCAGGAGTTGGAGGGGTTCAGTTTAGGATTTTAGAGCCCTTCCTTTTTGTTTTCTATTTTGGTTACCTTTTTAGGAGTTTGAGTTTTTGTGTGAGTTGTACAATGTTTAATTAGTGTGAACATTGTTCTGTGTTTTCTTGCATTTTATTAAATTTAAAATAATTACATTAATTAATTAATTAGGTTAATCAATTGAATGAACTTTTTAATTTAATTTCCCATCTCTATATTAAAAATTAAGTGTATTTGAAATTATTCAATTTTTTTTAATTTAATTTGCTCAATTAATTTGATTAAAGCTTTAATTTTAATTAAAGTATTAATTTTTATTAAATTAAAAAAATTAGTTGATTTTAATTAAATTTAAGTTAAAATTGTATTTTAAAATTATTTAATTATTAATTAAATTAGTTTCTCAATTAACTAGTTATTTAAGAGATCTTAATCTTAAATTAAAATTTTAATTAGCTTTTATTTATTTTATTAAATCATACATTATTCGATTAATTATATAAACTTTAAATTTATTTTAAAATTAATTATTAAATTTCTCTTGTTTAATTTAATTAAGTTGGAAATTTAAGTTCAATTAATTGGGTTTGTTAATTAAATAATTTTAATTTTAAATTCATTAGTTTAATTAATTAGAGCTCTGATTTTATTATTATATTATTATTTTTAATTATTAGTAAATTAAAATAAGTTTTAATTTTATGCTCCATCATATCTTAGATTTTAGTTAAAATTGATTAATTAAATGAATTCCAATTTTATTATTAATTCAAATTATTTAATTGACCTTTAAAATTAATTAATAAGTTAAATGAGATTCTTGACTTTAAATTAATTCAATTTAAAATGAGTCATTCTCCAATAATCCTTGAAAAATATGATAATCTCTCAAGGCAAAATTGGACAACTTTTTGGGGGCAATTTCGGCAACTTCTCAGCGTCCTCTCCCCTTGTGGGGAGGTAGGGGAGGGCACTTGCTTTTTCTAGTCCGCCTATCAGAATAGGATTCAACAGTTGAGGGCTTCGGGACGTTGTTTGGTCCCAAAAATAGTCTTTCAGCATCTGTTTTATTGAGATTGCGAGCATATGCTTTCTTTTCATTATTAAGGTTAATATTAATATTATTATTGTAACAACATTATATGCATAATTTCCTCATAATCCTCTCCTCACACTTACGAATTCAAACAAACAGAGAGATCAAATCGAAGCAGATAGACAGAGCCACACGTGAGGCCTAAGGAGAATGTGGGTTCGTTCGCGTGGAGGGAGGAGAGTCTGGCCCTTGGTTTTGTTCGATCTGGGTGTGGGATCACAGACATATGAGAAGCGGGCAAGTGCGGATTGAGGTCAGAGGCACAGCTCTGCGGACTGGGGCCAGGCGGCAGAAGCCCAAGTGGGCTCAAAGGCTTTGCAGGACTTTCGGTTGGTCGTTGGTGAGGCGTTGTGGGAGTTTAGGCCAGTTGCATGTGAGGCTTGCAGGAGTCTGTGTCAGGAGTTGCTCCAATCAAGCGCCTGGCTTTGGCAGTGGGCTCGTAGGGAGGTTGGTTGTAGGTATCTGGGTCGAAAACGGATAGGAAGCAAGGACGTCGGAGTGGGATTTGAACCAGATTGCAAGAGCTGGAGCGAGATTTGTTTTGTTGGATTCAGACGGATCACCAGAGAAGAAAAACCGATAGTCCAATTCAAGTGAGCATAACTTCTCAGTTTCTTTTATACGAATTGAATGAGCGGTTATCTCTAGTGATCATGGAGACGTCGTGGTATCATGCCATTTGATTCGCTTTTACTGCAGCCTCTCTAAAAAAAATTTATATGATTTCCACTAAAGGGAGTATGGAAATTAATCTATTAAAGGCCCCTATAATGGTCCATTGTTTGCGGGTATGTCGTATGCCTAAATCAGCAAAGCCTTTCCCACCTTTTAGACATGATTTAGCACTAGCAATTGTAGCAATAAATTTTAATTTGGCAGGCTTTAAATGCAATATTTCGCAAGCAACAATCAAGTTTTATGAGGAAGTATGATAGCAGCATGTGATTTTTACTATATAAGTTTTCTATATTTCTTTTTGGTGGTTGCATTTGCCGTCAAAGTCAAGGGGAAAACCTAATTCCTTCAACTAATCTCTAGTGAAGCTTAACCCTACTCCCAAAAAATATTCCAATAATTCCCAAAAGTCCGCTGTCCATCCAATCATGAATCATATAATAAACAAATTTATGATAAGTTGTAGGAAGTTCCGTACCTTTATTCATGAGACTGAAGCTTTAGCTTTCATACCAAAGAGCTACAAATAAAAAGAGTATCACTTTCAATCAGAGCACAAGGAGTGGACAATTGAAAGAGAAGCCTTGTGGAGAAAACAGATACGTAGAAAAGAGAATAGAGGGTTAGAAAGGTTTAGAAGAGAGAAAATATACCATAGAGGAGAGAAGGTAGTGGGAAAATCTATGCAAGGAAGAAGATCTTTGTGGCAAGAGAGCAATAGAGCAGTGCACAAGGAAGAGATCAAAAGAAAGATAGAGCGTAAAAATAGGCATTCAGTGAGAGAGATGCTCTGAAGAGAGGAAAAGAGAGAGATCAAAGGATTGGAGGATGGAAACTTTTGAGAGATAATATTGAGAGGGCTGCAAAGAGAAAATAATCTAATAACCCTTGATTAAATCATAACAAGCCCTATGTTGTTATTTACCAAAAGAAAAAGACACAGAAATAATCATATAAAAACCCCTAAAACCTAAAGTTCAAAATAATTTAAACAAAATAATAATAAAAAAAAAAACTAAAATGGCACAACAAAAAATATTCCCATATACAAAACTAATAAAAAAATGAACTGAGCAATCTCACCGTCAACATTACACATATGTTATGATAGGACAGTTGCAAACAAATATAATAATGTTTGTACATATGCCAACAACATATATATTCATAGATCAACAACAATGCTTTGTGAAAGAAAGATGTAAATGATAGCAACACCTCTAAATTTGTGGGAATTCCTACAAAGTATTAACATCGAGCTATACACAACATCACTTCATGTTTTTTTGTATATCAAATTTTGCATCAAAACTAACAATTATATAAAATGTATCATAAAAAGGAATATAATGCATTGATTGGATATACTAACCTCACCAGAGGTAATATGCTCGAGGAACTTGTCCTCAAACTCTCGACAAAGCTCCAAAGCAATGGCCCTGGTTCCTTCAGTGCTATTTACCATTTGCTCACCAAGTCTAAACAACTCATTATGCACAATTTGTGACTTACCCTGAAGCCTGCAAAGTTAATGGAGAAAAGTAATTTAGACTTGTTCAAAACAAGATGAATTACGTAAAAGAAGTAGATTACAATTAAATATTAGAAACATATTAATATTCAAGAATAGTTTTAAAGGTTCTGTGTATCGCTGCTTACTGAAAAAGCATATTTAGGTGAAAGAATAAATGAAAGGTCTAAGTACAAACTATCTGGAGGAGAATTTCCTCCATCCCTAAATGAGAGCAGCACTGATTTTATTTGTACAAACACACCATGGCAGAACACAACAATACCAATCAACCCATTATCTCCTTTATGTAAGTGAGCAACCAAATCTATATAAATTGTTCACTCTTGGACTGCCAATATATGCGGGTGAAACAAATCCCCAACTCTAGGCATGCACCTCTTCTGCAGTTTCAAAATAAGAGTGTACTTTTGGAGAAATACATGCATCTCTATGAGTAGCAATGATTTTATTTAGTACATGAACGCCATAGCGCAACATGAAGTTACCAAAGAAGCCTTTATCTTCTTTATGCAGGTAAACAAACAAATCTGCATGCATTGCTCATTATTATACTATATCATCTCGTTCCTAGATATATATTTTTTTGTTTCTTTATGACAATGTAGGCCTGCCAAGCTTAAATGTACAAAAAATACTTTTTTTTTTGGTTTCTTTATGACATCCATTTAGGAGTTCTCATTCTTCAAAATGAGTCAAAGCTTCTGTGATTTCTTCTAATTTCAAAAGGAATATGAACAAATAATACAATGTAGGCCTGCAAAATCGGAGTACATACCCCCCCACAACTGAAAGAAGACTGACTTTTATTTCTTAAAAAGGAACTGTTCACCACATAAGATAATAGCAGTGCATCTTTAGTATTGTATGGAGCGAGACAATGTGATACACTTGTGGGTGTGGGGGGTGCACAATCAGGAAGGGGGAGTTCTTTAGGAATGTTCATGATCAAGATGGAGTTGTTTAGAAACTAAATAAGAGAAATTATTTAGGAAGGTTCCTAATCAAGGGGGGAGTTATTTAGAAAAGTTTTCTAATTATGTTTATGCTATTTAAGAAGTGTTTAATTGTTTAGGAAGATTTCCTAAAACGTGTTTAATTATTTAAGAATGTTTCATAAATCATATTTAATTATTTAGGAATGATTCCTAAATTATGTTTATGTTGATTAGAAAGGTTCTATTTATCTAAAAAGTTTTCCTAAATTATGCTTATGTTGATTAGGAAGGTTCTAATTGTATTATGATGTTCTAAGACAATTTAAAGAGTTTGTCTATGATTTAGGGAGGATATTGATGAGTTTATTTTCCTAGTATTTATTGTGAGCGGCGTCTAAGTTTTGTGGGAGAGCTGATCTACCTCTCGAAAAGTAGATCAATTGTATATTGCTTTATTATTGAAGGAGAAATAAGAAAATCAGCCCAATGTTTGTGTTCCTACGCTATTCTTCTATTTTATTTGTTGTTTTTACTTCCAAAGCGTATCAAAATGATATCAAAGCACTTTTGTGGGACCTATGACAGCAAAGAAGGTGGAGGCGTTGGAAAGTAAGATAGAGCAAATCAAATCCGACGTGGAGAAGAGGCTTTCATTCATGGAAGGAGGTTCTTAATTATGGAAGGAATGCTCTCATCCATTGCAAACCGCTTTAAGAAATTGGAGGATATGACGAAAAAGATGATCGAGATGCAGTCGAAAGCTTCACTGGCGATTCCTAGGGCTAAACTAAAGAGAAAGGATATTCTAGAGGAGATGATGAGAAAGCTCATGAAGATGCGATCCAAATCACCATTAACGATTCCAATTGTTAACCCTAATCAAGGTTTGATCAGGGTTCCTGATAGGAAATACTTGATTCCAAGTATTTCCTAATCACTTTAGCCAAAGATCTCACAGCAAACTGCTGTCCACAGCAGGAAATCAGCCAAAACAGTGGGAAAACGCGAGAAAAACGATAGAAACACGAAGTAAGAACTTGTATTTTACTAGAAGATGAAAGGAAAATAGCAAAGATACAAGGATCCTCTATTCGAGAGGAGGATCGCACTCTCCCAATCTCTAGAATTCAATCTAGAGACCTAGCCACCAAAGAAGAACAAGAAAAACTTTCACAAAAATATCTCCTAACCCTAATCCCCCCTTTTCTCCCCTACTTAATGCATACAATTCAAATCTAAAACAAAAGGACCTAATTACCCTTGCTTCCCCTCCTTTTGGCTCCAAGAAACAATTCAAACTCCAAGTGGACCCCACCCCTCTCCCTTCTTCTTGTGTCCGCCGGCCCTCCTGGCATAGACGAACAAAGCCGGCCCAAGGGGCTGGGCCGGCTGGACCGGTCTAACAGTTCCCTTGGTCGAATTTGAAGGAAAAGAGCTCTCCTTTCATCAAGAGCCATTTCCTAGGGTTCCGATAAGAGGCGGAATAGTATTTCCGGATGGCGAACTGCAAGAAGGGAGTTTCGTGATGGAGGTGGTGGGGTGACCGACCAATATGGGTGGTCTTTTGGGCAAGGGGAGTGGACGACTGGAGAAGGAGAGAGACAAGCCAAGCCATTGGGATCGAGTCATGTGAGGCGGGTGGAAGAAATGTGGGATTCCCACCCTCGATACACGGGGGAAACATGGAGGGATCACGACCACCGCTACATTAGGGGAGGGAGAAACTAATGGGGCGGTGGCGATTTTAGAGTAAGAAAGTTGAAGATGCCAATGATTGAGGATAATAAGAGTGAGAGTTCAATAAGTGATACGCAAGCTCCTTCTGAGGATAAATTGATCAGCATAGATGTGAATAAAAAGGGCAAAGACATAAACTTGCAAAGCCAAGTTGATGGTGATGATCAAAAACTAAGTTTTGTGCAATGTGATCTTGCCAACACTTCCACATCCCAAGAACTTGTATTATCATAATCCAAAAATGATTATTTGAAAGACACTGAAACCAAGCCAACATCTGAGAATAAAAGAAAACCAGTGAAAATACCTTTGAATTCTACTAGAATGGGTATTTCTGAAGATGGAAATATTGAGGCTCAGACACAAGATACAACTAATACAGAGTTCTCAAAGGACAAATATGACATCGAATTGATTAAGCCAGAAGATTAAGGGATGAAATTTAGATTTTGCCTACTGGAGTGTCGAGCACACTTCATGTCTCATGAGTTAAGTGGACGAAGTGAAAATTCTGAGATGACAATGACTTATCATGAGAATTTTTTTCATAACATACCTCATGTTTCCCGCATTCTAGTGTGTCAAGTTCAAATGGAGTCATGTATCAGTCAAGCAATTGGCATGGACACTTCTCAAGCAGAAATGAAAGCAGATATTGCAATGACTGATTTCCATGTTGTGATTCAACCGATTGGCAAAACCATGATCAAGTAGATTGTTTTAAAGGAAGTAAAGTTGTAGATGGGAAGTTAGAGAATGCCATGGATAAGGCGTTCCAATGTGATGCAAATTTGATTGCTCTGAAAATTGCTGTGAATTCCATTGAGTTTGGTAAAGTTGTTAATGGGAAAACATATGGAGCTAGGGAATTCATGAGCAAGGTAGAGGACAAGTTGTCATTAAATTGTCAGCCCTCACTAGATCTTGCATGGCTGGCAAAGGGTTTGAACTTAGTGCTGATAGAAATTTTGGAGAATTGACTGTTAAGAAGTGTTTGGAAGAGAGGATACATGTGGAATTTCTTCGTGCAAAAAACCACAATGAGGTTCACACACCTAGGTATTCTTAAATGATAGACAATTGTGTGTCACAAGATGCTCTTGCTTGTACCATGGGACCTGAATCTTATCATAGTTTTCAAGATACTGTAGTACCAAAGGAATCAGAGCTGGAATTGAGGCCTAAGTACACTTGTGCTCCTTACGAATTTTTTGTAAAATGGGTAGGTAAATCAAACATTCATAACAAATGGGTTTCAAAAGACCAGTTAAAAGTTATACCAAAGAGAAAACTCGAGAATTATAAATTGAAGTATGGAGTGTCTATCATAAATATATATGCAAAGAATAATGGTTCCAACCTTAATTTATTTATTCTTTGAGTGAACCTGAAAATGGTGGAGGAAAAGCTTTGGTTAAATGGTGTGGCCTTCCTTATGATGAGTGTACCTGGGAGAGATTTGATGAACTTGCCATTCAAAATGGTTCTCATCTTTTTTTTTTTGAACTTAAACAGTTTGAATCTCATACTTCAGACAAGGATGCTAGTGTTGGCAATGATTCAGCATTTTTAGTTGTTGAAATCAATGTATCAATAAGCAAGAGCCCAAAGAAAAATATCAATATAATCCTGGATGATACTTAAGCTCGTGGAAGAAAAAAAAAGAAAAAAATTGAAATAGAGAACGGCCGATAAGAATATCAAAGATTTATGCAAGCATAGTATGCTAAGAAGTCCTATGGTAAAACTCTAGTAGAAATTAACAGGAGCACTTTTAAATTCCAGAATGCTTGATGATCCAGGAGGACTTTTAAATGGACAATACCTTTGTTCCACCTTGAGGACAAGGTGCAAGGTGCATTTTTTGGGAGGGAGTATTGATACGCTTGGGGGGGGGGGAAAAAAAAAATTATACCTTTGCATGGACCGGCGGTGGGGATGACGGCGACGAAACAAATAAAAGGAAATAACTTAACTAATTACAATACTAATAGTTAATGAAAGTAATTTAGTTAGCTATAGTATGAACAATTAATGCAATTAATTTAACTAACTATAACATTTATAGTTAGTGAAAGTAATTTAATTAATTATTATACTAACAGTTAATGACATTATTTTAATCAACTAAAATATAAGATAGTTAAATAAATTAATTTACTAATTATAATATTAACAGTTAGTAAAATTATTTTAATCAACTATAATATAAAATAGTTGAATAAATTAATTTACTAACTATAACATTAACAGCTAGTAAAAATTATTTTAATTAACTATAATATAAATTAGTTAACTAAATTAATTTATTACT